GGCAGGGCAGGGCAGGGCAGGGCAGGGCAGGGCAGGGCAGGGCAGGGCAGGGCAGGGCAGGGCAGGCCGAGCGATTGGAACGCACTGCGCTGCGCGACAACTGGTAAACACCAGCGCGGCGTCAATACACGTCAATGTAAATATTATGAAACAAGCGATACGTAAACAAGCGGAAACCTGTTATTTCAGCCTCTAGTGAGTTGTAATTATTATAAATGCGGGATAAACACGTTAATTCACTGCGCTGCAGGGTCATACAGATGCATATTAAATAAAAATGATGATGAGTGGCGAGAAAGACAGCGGATTAATTTTTGAGTGAAGCAAGAGATGTGGAAGAGTCACTGTCCGCAAAATTATTGCATTTTTTTCGTCGTAGGCGTCATAACGCGTTATGCGGCTGTGTTTTTATACAGTTTGCGTGAATTTAACAGGTTCGCTACGAGATCTAAAATAAATTTATGTGGAGAAACGTAGTACAATAATGTGGGCGATATAGTTAATGTTTTAACACTTGAACTAGATTGGAAAGAGAGGCAAAAGTCGGCTACGAATTATTTTGTTAGCAATGACGCCATTCTACTCTCCTGTAAATATATAAAAAACAAAAAAATGTATTTTTATGAAGATTCTATGTTCTTTTCAATTTGAATATAATTCTCCCATGCTTCTCTATCAATCATGTGTCTAACAATACCCCTCAGCGAGAACCTCATGTTCTAAGACAGCTTCAGAACTTTCCACCTCGGGCTCGATCGTCCTGACTTCTCCTCCGGGTCATTTCCCATACCACCACCGGGGGGAACAGTGGTTATTTGGCCCTTTGTGTCTACCACCTCTCCCAGGCGGTCAAAGGGCGTTCAAGGGCAGCGCCCTAACCGCAGCACCGCCACACGTGCGGGGTGGGGGCGGGGGCAGTGACCCGCGCAGCGGCGTTCCGACGACGCGATCCTTTCCATCGTTTCCACCTCCGCCGTCGAACCCGCCGCCGCCCCCGCGCCGACACCGCCCACTCACTCCCCGCGCTCCAAGCGAGTTTGCCCATAACAAAGTTTCATAAAGAAGATAATGCCCGGCTGTTCGAAAGATTTTATGAAGCGACCCCTCCCGTACGACACGTCGGAGAGAGGAGACGGTTCGGTAGGGAGGGGGTGGGGGCAGGCAGCGACCAGAAGCGCGCGGATTCTGAAAGCGCCCACTCCGCCTCCGCCCCCGCTTCCGCTCGTCTCATTCTTCACGCGGAAACGGTGGCAGTTACGGCACCGTAACTCGCTCTCCGTCCCCATAGCGAAGACTCGTGCGTGTTTAGTACATTTATTAAAAGGGGGCTTCGCAACATTATCGTAGCTCAAACCGACGTCGCGCCGAGATGAGGGAGCGCAAAGGAATAGCGCGGGGGGAGGGGGGGGGGCTCTGCGTACCGAAGCGGACGCATCGCGCAACGGTGAAGTTAACGTCTCCGTCACAAAGGACTCGCACATCTGGGAGCTAATGGCTTCGGAATTGCTATTTTACGTCGGCGCCAGCAGCGGCGCGTGCAGCCTTCGCACGGCGAATGTATTAATAGCAAATTGTCGTCGGGGCCCTCGTCGCTCGGGCGCCAGCGCGGCCGCGGCGAGGGCCAATCGCCGGAGCGGGGGAGTAGTGCTTCGTCACGTGTTGGCGTCGCCGCTATTTACTGCTACGGCGCGGAGTAACGTGCCTGAGACGGGCACCACCTCCTGCTCGGGCGCGCGCGACATGCGTTGTCTTAAGACTAGACACACGAGCGTCGCAAAACGTACGTCGTTCACGTCCGTTCGTTTGCAGGCCACACGGGCACGATTACCGCCACGAAACGGGACATCATATGTTCCGTTGCCATATACTAGGAAAAATATGTGCCACGCAGTCAGCGATTGTGTATTACATTGGAATAAAACGTATCAAAGGAAAAGAAGATGGTTGATTTATCGCATACATAGCGAGCACCCTTTAAAGGTATTCTAATTTTACATCTTTCAGAAATTATGCAACGACAGTGAGAATTTTCAAAAACTTTCCAAATATCCGAGACGTCGTTGAGACAATTGCTCTCAAAATTGCATGATATTATAAGGCAAGATACTAATGAGAGGTGTTTAACATAACCAGAAGAAATTATTGCATATGCACTTCATTAATGAACCTTTCAATGGCAAATCAATTCATTTTGTGAATGGAGAAACGTATACCGCTTGTTCAACGTACGTAGTACTCCGAGCGTTGAGACCGCTATGAATGCCTACGAAGCTGCAACGTCCCTCTGGAACAACGTACGCAGTGTAGGAGCCGAAGTCCGCTGGCTGCTATGCCACGGACGTTACTGCGGCGTCTAGTGTGCAACGCCTCGTACGCGTCCGTACTGCGCTCCGACGGACGCACATCAACGTCCGTCATTCGAAGCTCGTGCGTCACCAGCTGTAAGAAGAGCGGCTTCTCCGGCGCGGCCGTGGCGCTGTGCTGAGAAGGGGCGGCCTCCGCCGCCGCGGGCGGTTATGCTAATGCGGCGCTTATCGCGGGCAGGCGCTCTCGTGACCCACACTCGCCGTCACCGCCTCCGGCGCGCCCAAGAGCCCTCCCTCCCTCCCGCCCTCCCTGGAGGACGAGGCGGCACGAGCACTCCGCCACCGCCCCCCCCCACTCCCGCCATCCAGCTGGGGAATGCTCGCGAGCACGAACCGCTGGGGTTTTTCTTTCGCGATTTCTTCTTCGCGATGCTGCCGGTGAAGTATCGCCCGGAAGGAAAATACGCGAGGGATCTGTTCTTGCAGGAGGCGAGTCGGTGATGCTTGAACACACTGCCCAGGAGGGCAAGAAAACTGAACTATGCATACGTACGTGTTCAGAAATGTATCTAACATCGTCCATTAGTAGTAACGAAAATTAATGTTGAACAATTTCATTTTTAACGTCTTCTTTATAGTCAAAATTGTTAGTTTTGGAAATTTCTGATCGTTAAAACTCGAATGTATCATAATTTCAGTGTTTGTAGGTATAGATTGTTTAATGTGTCATGACTGCTTCTATCTACAGTGCGTGTTTCCATTTTCAAATTTTATTATATTAATATATTTATCCGTGAAAAGACAAAATGCCAATCCCATTCTTTACGCAATAAAAATCAAAGCAATATAACACTGGGGGCATTTTTGTGTTGATGGTTCTGCAATGGCCACATTTAATTAATATTAGGGAGACGAACAATCCCTCCTTCAAGAACGTATCACCAGTGGCACCAAAAAATAAAAAAAAAAGACAAGTACTCACCTCACGAAGGCGTATCCTTTGTCCTTAAAGACGCGGATCTCCTGGATGCTGCCGAAGGGCGAAAAAGTTTTCTGCATGAGCTCCTCGGTGAGGCCGTTGGTCAGGCCCCCGCAGTACACCGTGCAGTTGGTGGGGCTCGACTGGTTATAGACTTCGTCGAAAGTCAGTGGCTTCGCGTTTACTGCAACAAGCAAAAGAAAAAAGAATAACTGTAGGGCTGACGTCAAGGAGTAAAAGACGCGCACCATCCCATGCAAGACACCGCAAACAGGGAGCAAGCATGCCCGCAGCAAGCGCGCAAACGAGGGGGTTAATTAGCTCACACTGATCTGCACTGTTAGAACTGGCAATTCCTTCATTACGTATTACAAGTTGGGGAAGACGAAGGAACATGTTAGGGATGAAATAATGGTTTAGAAACAATAACCCAAGGTGAGCATTGAGAAGATACCTACGAGAGAGTATTCATCATAGGAAATAAAAACCTGGTGCTACCTCCAGATCATACTGCAAAACTTTAACTCTAATCAAACACAGACAAACACAGAAGTCATAAGGTGAAGGAGCCTAAGACAAAAAAGGAATATTGTTTAACAACAATCGTTTCCTGGGTATAGGTTTTCAATTACTAATATAAAAACATTTATGTAAACCCAATTTCAATTCCCGCGTAATACGACGAAAACATGAAGTAGTAACTTATAGAGACTACACAAGATTTCGTCATTCGTCAATGCCTAGACAATGAAAAACGATTATGTTTTAAAACTCTCTATGCAATGGAAAGTAATACAGCTGTTATCGACCATAATTGTATAACATAAGGTGGAATATTTTCACATTTTATTCAAGGAGTTTTCCTGTATTCACATTTGTTCACAATATTGCAGCACTGACAATGAATTCATTCCTGAATTGTTTCATATTTCGTGTTGTGATAATACTCTTAATAACGTTTACCAATAGAATAAATCTCCCTCGCGACCTTTCAATTCTCATGCCACACGCCGTTTAAAGAAAAACACATTTCTCAGTGATTTGTTCCGCGTGAGAGAGGTCTCAAATCGAA